CAACTTTTTCATAAAATGAGGTCAGCTTTCAATGTTTTTTTTTTTTTTTTCAGTGCAACACTTAGTTAAGGTAGCTTTTGATGAAATGTATTTTAAGTAGATTAACAGGATTTTGTGCAGCATGTCAGTGTAACTTGTTTGGCCAAAGACCATGGGAAAAATACAGTATTTGAAAGTATGATATGAATCAAAGTTTTGGAAAGAAAATCTAGGATTAGCTGCAATAAAGATTGTACAGACAGAACCTAAAATTAAAGTTCAGGATAATTCTGGTAAATCAAAGGTAAACTATTAATAAATTCAAACTATAATCAAAATGTATGTCTATAAATTAGAAGAATGAAGCTAAGGACATATGAACTGAAATAGATCCATTCACAATTAAAGGTTATGCATTTTTCTTTTTGTAGGAGAAGAGAAATCCTCACTCTGTAACAGCAGTGAAAAACTGATTCTATCACTTAGAAAGAGGACTGGAGGACAGGAAAACTTAGAAATGCTAGACTCCATAGTTCCAACTAAAAGAAACAGAAGAGTTAAAACCGAACATAACAAACAGTGCTCTACAAATGAGCTTTGTTCAAAAGAAAGATCCCAAAGACCAAGAAGGAACACTCGTAGAGCAGAAACAGCAAAATGTACACAAAAGGATGAAGATGATTTTACCAAGAATCTCACTGAAGCTGTTCCAATGGCAGAATTGGAAAACAAAAAAGCAAAAATTAAAGTGACTGAGAAAAAAGGGAAAGCTTTAAAAGGAAACTCCAGAAAACAGTTGGCTGAAACAGAAGTTGTGAAAATGGATTCTGACAGTGTAGGAAATATCCAAGAAGTCAAAAGAATTTCAAATGAAACTGCAGTTAAAACACAAGCACCTCTGGAAGAAACTGAAGCAGGAAATAAGGATGTAGGAACAGATCAAAGTTGCAAGTCAAATTACTTACTTTCTGAAAATGCGAATGAAGTGCCTCTTAATGTTTACAACTTGCAAGCAAATACAAATCCAGTAAAAGAAAGTAATCCAAGATGTAGAAATAACAGAGGTATAAAAGGTGTAATTGTGTGTAAGGAAAATGAATTTTCAAAAAATGTAAAAGGTAAAGAAGCAAATCAGACAAAAGATTGTAGTTCAAAAAATATAAGTGATCAAGATTTCATAATAGCTCAAACCCCTGACACCTACAGTCTTGATTCTCTTAGTGACAGTAGGAAACAACAACACGCTGCTCAGGTTGCTTTCAGTGGAACAAATTCTTTAAATGAGTCGCAATGTGGATTTGAGAGAGAAATAAGCAGTGAAGAAATAATACCTCAAATGAAATCAGACATTGAATCCCAGAAAACTGCTACCAAAAAATCTTCAGGAACAAAGAAAATTTCCAAAACCAAGAAAGATCAGAAGGATTCAACTACAGCGGTAGTTCAAATTGTTAAAGAGGAGAGTGCTGTTCTTAGACGTAGAAGTACAAGGGGAAGTAATAAGGAACAAGAAGCACCCAAAACAAATCACAATGAAATGCTGGAAAATAATCCAACAGAAAGCAAAGAAAATATATTGAGAAGAGGGAAAGGGAAAAAAGTTCAGTTTCAAGTTAAGGAATCTAGCTCCATTTCTCTCAGAGGAAAACATGCTGTACCTGAAGATGACAATAAAGAAGCAAATCATGAAGATGGTCAAAATGAGACATCAAAAAAAATACCTGCCCAAGCAAATGGAAGAAGGGGCCGAAGGAAACAAGTTGACCTTGTGCTACAGACAGCTACTTCCTCTTCTGTTACAGGAAAAAGCATATTGCTTGAAGACCCTAGCAAAGATGAGACTGCCACTTCCTCTATTAAACAGAATTCCTTGAGAAGCTGGAAAAAGGAAGTTGTTTTCACATCACAGATGGCTAATTCCACTTCTCTTAGAAGAAAACATGATTTGTCAGAAGGTAACGATAAAGAGGAGACTCTTCAGAAAGATCAAAATGTGGTTTTGGAAAATACTGCTTCCCAAACAAAAGTTAGTGCATCAACAAGAGGCAGAAGAAAAAAGGCTCATTTCACACAGCAGGCAACAAGTTCCTTTTCTCTCAGGGGAAAACGTGGCTTGACAAAAAGTGATGATAAAAATGAGATTGCTAATGAAGGCCATGGTGCAGGTTTGGAAATGAGTGCTGCTTCTACAGAAGAAATTCCATCAAGAAGGGGAAGAAGGAAAAACGTTGCTTTAGTGTCACAAGAAGCAAGGTCCACTTTGCTACAGACAAAATGTGTTTTGCCTACAAATGGTGTTAATGAGGAGATTCTTAAAGAAGATCAAAACACAGCTTTGGAAAATACTACTGCCCAAACAAGAGCTAACTCAGCAAGAAGGGAGAGAATAAAAAAATCTGATTTCACACAACAGGTAGCAAGTTCCCCTTCAGTCAGGGGAAAATGTGGCTTGGAGAGAAATGGTGTTGACACTAGTGAAGATCAAAATGTGGCTTTGGAAATTGTTCCCTCTGCAAGAGAGAATCTGTCAAGACGGGGCAGAAGGAAAAATGCTGTTATCTTAGCAGAGACAAATAATTTTACTTCCCAAGGAGGGAAATATGACTTACTAACAGATAATGTTACAGAAAAGGTTCCTGTGGAAGATCAAAATAAGGTTTTGGAGAATACATCTGAGGCAAAAGCTAGTGCATCAGCAAGGGGTAGAAGAAGAAAGGCAGATCTAGTAGAACAGGCTACAAGTTCCCTTTCGCACAGGGGAAAACGTGGCTTGCCAAAAAATGATGGTAAAGAGGAGATTAATGACAATCAAAATATCGTTTTGGAAACTGTACCCTTTTCAAGCGAGATTCCACCTAGAAGGGGAAGAAGGAAAGGGGTTGTACCCTTGTCACAGGCAACCAGTTCTACTTCTCAAAGGGAAAAATGCAGCTTGTCAGAAAGCAATGATCAAGAAGATACTCATAAAGAAGATAAAAATGTGGCTTTGGAAAATGCAACACCCCCTGAAAAATCTAACCCGTTAAAAAAGAAGGGAAAGAAAAAGATGGATCTCCTGTCACCAGCAGCTGGTTCCACTGTTTCCCACAATCAATTCAGTCGGCCAGAAAATGATGGCAAGAGGGAGACTCCTAAAGGAGATCAAAATATGCCTTTGGAAATTACATCCTCTGCAAAAGGGAAGTCATCTGGAAGGGGCAGAAAGAAAAAGACAGATGCTTCTACTTCTCTTAGGAAAACTTATGACTTGCCAAAAGACTCTGGTCAAGAGGAGACTCTTAAAGAAGACAAAAATGTGGCTTTGGAAAATGCACTCTCCCACGGAAAACCTGATCCGTCAAGAAGGAAAAGAAACAAAAAGATTGAAGTCATATCACAGGCAGATAATTCCCCTTTGTTCCAAGATAAAACCAGATTGCCAGAAGATGATATTAAAGAGGTAGTTCATACAGAAGATCAGAATGTAGGTCTTGAGCATACTACTCCTGCAAAAGAGATTATATTAAGAAAGGGCAAAAAGAAGCAGATTATTCTTCCATCCCAGGCAACTAGTTCTGCTCCTCTTGGGAGAAAACGACACTTGCCAGAAGATGAAAGGGCAGCCAAAAAAGTAAAATCAGGTATGGCAAGGGTTTGTTTTGTATTCTTTAGCACCAAAGTATAAGTTTGTGTGTGTGTGCACACGTGTATATCTTCGGAATGTTTTAGACCAGGTGTTCCTTCAGTTTGTTTATGGGTACCAGACTGTTTTGATCAAAATAATTAACACATTTCTAACACTGTAGACCTTTATAATTAAATTTTAAAATATATTACTGTCTATAGAGAGAGAGGGAGAGAGACATGGTAATATAAATTATCTGAATTAGTGTAATGATTATGTAAGAGATGGCATCACCCCTTCCTTTATTACAAAATAGTTTCTATAGTTTGAACTTTATTGCACACATCAGGACTTTTTTTGGATTCCCCTGTAGCACCTTGCAAGCACCTACTCCTTCATCCCCCTTAATTTTGGGGATACCCTGCAACTCATTTTTCCCCTTGGCAGTGGTTCCCATTCCCATGCCAAGGGCTGTGGGATCATGCTTTGTCCCCTTCAGTTGTTCTATTTTACTTCCTGTTTTAGGAGATGTGGCCTATTTGTCTTTCTCCTTTTTCTTCCTCCTTATCTGTGAGAGAAATTATTCAGGGAATTAGCATCAAAAGCTCTAAAAGGATGGACAGATATTAGGTAGAAGTATTAGAACATAAGAAGTATCATAGTGACTCAGATCAGTAATCCATCTAGCCCAGTATCCCATCTCCAGCAGCGGTAAACATGGATGCTGTAGAGGGAGAGCATTGAACTGGATATCTTGAATGATTTGTCCTATATTCAATATCCTCCCTGGCATCTGATTTAAAGATGCCAGAGAAAACCTCTCTAACCATTTTGTTCACCATTAGTACAGCATGTCAGCCTGTGGGTCGTGACCCAAAAGTGCGTCACAAGAATATATAAAAGGGTCATGAACAAACTTTAAAAAAGATAAATCAACAAATTTTAAAAATAGATTCTCCTTTAAAGGAGAAAAAATGTGGGAAACTGGCTTTTCCCTTGCAGGCTGGCAGAGTTCCAGCCTGCAAGAGCCTCAGCCCCACACACTGGGGGGTTAGGTCCTAGGAGCAGCGGGTTGGGATTGAGGGGCACCGGCTTGGGACTGGTCATCAATGTTTACAAATGGGTCCTGGTACAAAAAAGGTTGAGAACCACTGCATTAGTAGATCTTGCATCTGTTAATTTTTCTGATCCCTTTTTGAACCTGGCTATGCCATCTGCCTCTGCTTCTTCCTGTGGCATTATTATTCTTGATATAATGTTGAAAAGCAGTGGGAGTCATCCACTAGTTACTTAAGGAGGTGGTGCCTGAAACAGATCCTGGAATTTTAAAATCAATTTGGAAATGAGAAGTAAAACAGATATAATAATGCTTCCCCACAGCCTGGCTGACATAAACCATGTTAGTTTGCTATGTGGGCCAAAATTTAATTCAAAACAGGATATAATGTATGAAAATGATCATTATGTAGAGTTAAATATAGAAATGTCATCAGTAAGGATTTCACAAGCTTAGTCAACCAGAAATGTATTTACATAACTGTATTTTCTTGTATACCACATGCCCATGAATAAGATGTACACTTTGCTTTGAGAAGGCGGAATGAAGAAGAAAAGATTTTTCCAGTTTTCTGGCTGAAAGTTGACTGAATGGAGCAGCTTATTCAGGAGCTCATTTGCCTTCAGCCAGCTCATTGGCTGCTTTAAGCAAAAGCTAGTTGTACTCTCTCAGTTGCTGCCAAATTGGCAGCAGCTTTTGGCTGCTTGCAATTTGGCAGTCTGGGAGAAGATTTAAAAAAAAAAATGGACTCCCTCTTGCTGAATGTTTATCACGGAGAGGAGTAGAACTCTCAGCAGATATTATATGTCTCCATACTTGTATTCTGGTGCGTAAATTAGCTTGCCCAATTAACTCCCCAGTTTTGAGGGTTCTTTGGCGGGTGCAGGGGGAAGGTGCATCTGGTATGCTAGTAAATGGAGTATGAAGTCTTTAATGTAGTAAAATGATAGTAAAAATCACGTGTTTTGCTTGGCACGGTTCTTGGGGTACATGTGATATCTTTTATTAGATCAATTGAGTAGTTGGAAAAATGTTCTTTGCAAGCTTTTGGACACAAACACCCTTCTTCAGGCATAGGAAGGTCTGCTCTTGTTCTGAAATCTCCAAGGACTGAAAAAATATTAAGTGTGACAGGAGGTCAGTGAGAATGTAAATAGGTGGAAATTGGGGAAACGAAGGGTGGAGAAGTGAGGGGAGGGGGAGAAACCATATTTTGCCTGTCATCAATTTTCTTCCTCATGTTTTATTCCTTTTCCTCTTTGCTCACATCTGCTTATTTTCCTTCTGCACTTGCAGTCTCAACTGATATCCCATTCATGTTGCTTTCTGCTTATTTTTAGTTTCTCCCTTAAAATTCTGGACAATCTTCTATAGGAGATCTTTCCAACAAGTAACACCACTCTGCCAGCAGTGACTGTTTCTTCTTGGAAAAACTTGTTTCCTTATGCACATATCCATAGTTTTTTATATGAAAAACCTGACTTTCTAGCTTCCTTTGGGTTGGTATCATTACTTTGTATTCTTCATTCTCTACATGGTGAAATATTCCTAAATGTTTTTAGTAGATATTTTTTTAGCCTTTTATATCATCAGGAAAAAAAAAGAGCTAAAATATAATAGCTAATTGGGTTTGGTATCCTCATTAACATTAGCCTAGTTTCAAAAATAGCTATAAATCTTTAGGGATCTATCTTAAAGGATATAGGTTGTGCAGAAGTATGGCTCTCAAATAGTTTATTGTATTCTTGGACATCAGCTCTGGGATATAGCCATTGGGGACACTTCTTTGAAATAGTGACACTGAAGGTTGAATTGTTTGATATGTGATGCACACTTACATTTAGTATTTTTGTTTACAAGGAGAGAGCGGCGAAAGCAGAACTTTGCTGAGAGGAAGAAGAAACAAAACTCAAGAAGGAAATGACAAAGAAGATGTAAGCCTGTTTCAGACTGGAATAGAGAGGAGAACAAGAGCAAGTACAAGAACAAGAAAGTAGCCTTATTTAGCAGTAGGAGAGCAACTTCTGAAATATGTTGAGGATTTGATTTTGCAATTTTTTATGTAAATGGATGTACATTTGGATTTTAAAGCAATTGGTGAATTTTCATATAACGGAGATGCATATTTTAACCTGCTTTATGTATATCATTTAGTTCTTTTAGTCTCATAGTTTGACAAGAAATGGCATCCAAACCCTGAGAGAGAACCACAGAAGAAAGAAAAATGCCATACACAACTCCTTGAATTTGTTGGCCACACGTTTCTTTTTTCTCTGCTCATTAAAGCAGTCTGGCAGCTATATTATCTTGTATCTGTCCATGGACAGCACTTGTCTAGTTAAATTTTAGTTGAGCTTTATTTTTTCAGGGAAGTTTTGTAAATATTCTTTAAAAAAAGTCTACGGGTTTTTATTGGCAAAACGTTTATGTGGGGATTATGATTTTAATAGCTTCAGTTGATTGTACTGCAGAAAATGCAGATGTTAAAGTCATTAAATTTTGTAAATGTTCATTAGATTTCTAGTGTTTTGTGATTTTAAGTCTGCTTTTAGATTCAAGTATATTAGACCCTCTGAGGAGCAGAACCCTCAGCAGATTCTTTATGTATAACTACTGTTGTTTCCTCTCAATCATAGAATCACTGTGTAATTCCCTCATTCTTCCAAGTCATGGCTGTCTAACTTGTGGCCCATGGGCTCCAACCCAGGTGCCATTCCCACTATCAGTCTGGCTGCTGCTGCCACCAGGGTCTTCACGCTCCCGCTTCCTCTTCCATTTTTTGCTTCCTCCCCCTTCCCATTGGGAGGGAGGGGGAGGAGAACTCGGAAATTGGGGCAGTCCTGTACTTAAGTTGCATACTATACTTAAAAAAATCATGCCTTTATATGAAGACACTACTGTAGTGTTATGGTTTCCCTACTACATGAGGGAAGACTGCTTCTGCTCAGCTGTTCCAATTATATATGATTTGATACAAAATGATCAAAATATGATATAATGAAATTAAGCTGTTCCTCTCCCTGCTGCTCTTAATTGCTTTAAGGAGAAGATAAGGAGAGCAGTAATAAATTAAGAAGCACACAGACTTGCAATATTGTAGCTCTTTGTGTAGTTTAGAAGTTTGGTTTGGTTGGTTTTGTTTTCTAACTAAAAATCAGTGCCTGTACCCTGAGATGGTAGTTTAGTCTTCATCACTGGAGAGCCCCTTGCATCTGTAGCACTGGAGTTTCTGATTTAGTGAAGAATTGGTATTTCCTAAAACTATGCCGTGCTCTCAAGGTTCTCATCACCTATCCTTACAGCAGCGGGGTGGGAGGGAGAGGTAGGACCAGTAATGAGTTAGGGTAAACAAGAAAATATTGGGCTTAGAAGAGAAAAGTATATTTTTGCTTCTTTTAAAGCTGTATGATGCAGGTAAATTTAGGTTGAATGTAACCAGACAGAATTGTTTGCCGTTAATATTGGCTTCCTTGTTTATTGGATGCTGTACATCATTAGGGCTGGTCTCTGGGAAAGGACAGGCTTTTTGGTACAATATAGTCTTCTTATAACAAACCTGTTTTTAATCCTGATAACAGGAACTTTTTTTTCATTGTTATAATGAAAAAAATCAACTAAATGTATTATAGCAAACACTTGCTTTTAATGAGCTTTTCTTTCTAGCTTGTGCAGTTTCATTATAATCAGGTTGTACTGTGTATAGCTTTTGGGTTTTTTGTATAAACTGTCTTGCATCCATGCTCTAACATTTTTTGTTTTTAAATTTTATCTGGCATCTTATCCTGCCTTTGGAAACCACATAACTGTGAGTTAAATTTGTTGTCAAGAGTATGTTGATGCAGCCCAAACTGAAATTACCATTTGAGTAGTCCTCATCCTGCTTTCCATTTGTTGCTTCTGGATTAGCTGGTTGTTTCGTGTGTGCCTTCCTATTGCTCCAGCATCACTTTCACTTGATGTCACCTCATTTAAGTTCCAGGAAACGACCTTTCCACTTTGCGATTCCAGCTCATGGCAAGTTCAGACAACCGAATCCATTATAACATCCATGCCCTGCATACTTCAATTTGCCTGTCTTGGGCATTCTTCTGTGGAAAAGTATGTCAAGTTCTCATTTTAAGAAGCCCTCAAATGTACAGACTTGCCAGAGTAAATAATAAAGAGAGCTTGGGCATGGCCCATTGCTATATCAACAAACTCCAGCTGAATTAATAGAATGCTTAAAATGGAAAACAAGATCATCTGTAATGCTCCCAGTACATGTGCTTAGTGTCAGGATCTGGATCAAGTTTTGTTTTTGGGGGTTTTTTCTTGCCAAAGATGCTTCTGAAGAATTCTAACTCATCGTCTGCTTGATAGTTTGCCACTGATATCAGAAGTACCCAGTCAAACATGGGCCCAGCATAGGGAAGTTTTCCTCCCACAACAGCTAAAATCTCTGGCCCACCCAATACTAAGCCCAAAGCAAGCAGCTTGAGCTGTTTTCTGCAGGGGGTGTATTCTGAAGGAGACGTCAACTAGTAATAATTTTGAAGGTGTTACATGTTACCCTGAGGCTATGCCAAGTGCTGTAGAATGTTAAGCGGTGTAAATACTAGTACAAGCTTAGAACAGTCGCACTTTAAGGCTTACTGCTATTTCTGACCTGCACAATTTGGACATTTATCTTGCTGGGATCCTTTCACCCTAGCTGACTTCCTGCCTCGTGGGCAGTGGGCTGGACTTGATGATCTTATGAGGTCCCTTCCAGCCCTAATGTCTGTGAACTGACTTGCCGCTAAACCAGGGGTGGGCAATTATTTTGGGCAGAGGGCCACTTGCTGAGTTTGGCAAGCCATCAAGGGCCACATGACAGGCAGCTAGGGGCAGATAAATATTAATTTTCTAA